ATTATACCATAAACCATTAAACAAACATGAGAAACTTCAGCACACAGAGAACTAATATATGTAGAATTGGATAACCAACTCTGAGTTAAACGGAAAACCTGATTTATGGAAACCTTTGTTTACCTTACTAAAATATTACAGTAAATTATAATTACTGAAAATCAGAAAACCAGGTGGCAAATTTAAACACATAGACAAAGAACCCTAATGGGCAAACCATCACTCAGGTTTAGTATCTGAAATAGACCAATCAATAAAAGAGTCTTTTGTTTAAGAGGTGTCCATATGTATGTATGATGAATAATTATTTCAAAGCATGTTACAAAGACCACCTAAAGATGCTAGGCCCAATTGTTCTTATAAATAAAGATGTTCCAAGCATTCATAGGAATGTTGTACATTCTGCCTTCTAAAAAGCTTCTCCTGGGATGCATCTATAGCAGTGGTCCCCAACCTTTTTTGTACCAGGGACCGGTTTCAAGCAGAAACATTTTTTCAAGGACCGGGGGGGGGGGGGGGGAATCCGAGTTTGGTAGTTTGCTTGCAGACGTTTCATTACCTGACTAGGTAACATCTGATGTTGTTACCTAGTCGGGTAATAAAACGTCTGCCAGCAAACCACCAAGTTCAGGGAGCGCCTCGGCCCTGCCTCCCTCAGCCCCATCCCTCAGGTGTCTGCCTCCCTCCCTCCCTCAGGTGTCTGCCTCGTTCCTCTCTCAGTCACTCTATCACTCCTACAGCAGCCCAGGAAGAAACTGCTTCAAAGAAGCCGGGGGGTGGGGTGGCTTTTCCTGTCGCCACAGCTTCCCCGAAGCGCCCGTTTCACCCCCACCCCGCCCGCCCGCTCGCGGTTCAATCCACAGTGCTCCGTTCTACCTGCCTGCCTGCCTGCCTTCTTCGTTTCGGAGCAGCTTCGGCTGATAAAAAGAGGCGAATAGTTATTATTCTCAGCCGAAGCTGCTCCCAAACAACCAGACAGGCAGAACGGAGCACTGTGGATTGAACCGCGAGCGAGCGGGCGGGCGGGGTGGGGGTGAAACGGGCGCTTCGGGGAAGCTGTGGCGACAGGAAAAGCCACCCCCCCCCGGCTTCTTTGAAGCAGTTTCTTCCTGGGCTGGTGGAGGAGCGAGAAAGCGACTGAGAGCTGAGCCAGAGAGCAGGACAGGCTTCGGTTGCTTCCTCCCTCCCCTTCTTTCATTTGTGTCCTTGATCCCCGATCCCAGCAGCATTCACCGAAGGCGAAGAAAGCCGCCATTTTTTTTAATTTTATTTTCTTTGCGGCCCGGTAAAGAGTGCTCCACGGCCCGGTACCGGTCCGCGGCCCGGTGGTTGGGGACCCCTGATCTATAGGATACATAGGAAAGCCATCAATATATACAGTGCCTCGCATATGCACTGAATCCCAACCTATTTTCTACATGTTGATAAATTTATTGAGAGAAATCTGCAAGTTTTCTTAAAGTTCTCAGAGAAAGTTGATAAGAAATAATTGAACAACAGTAGTAATTTACAACCAACTGCCAGTATATATCACAGCTCACAAGGGAACAAAAATTGAGATTTTAACTTATATTTTCAAAGAATTTTAATATAGCAGCATCATCTGCAAGCCTAGGAAATTTATTCCACTTGGCTTCATCCATAGAAAATAACTACAGCTATACACACTGAGAACTGCAATATTTAATAAAAGAGAAATCTGTGGAGGATAAAACTCAAACAAAACTATAAACCCTAACCAATCCACGAATTTTATTCTTGGTAAATTTCATCAATATTGCATTTACGGCATGAATTATCATGCAGTAAAAAATACAACTAAATAATTACTTTCAGAATGATATATTGGATTCTGTTCTAATAACCATTATTCCAGATACAGTAACTAAGGAAGGTGAAGTAATTGACAAAATATATTAATAACATATGAATTGTATCTGAAATGAGTAAATAGGAACTATATCTATACATTTGAGGCTATCATTAACAATTTTCTATCAAACTCAAGCAATCTCTCTCAGTTTAAATATATAATGGCATTCAGACATTTATGTATTGTCTTCTCAATTTGATCCCCCACATGAAAATACTCTTATAAATAATCCCTTAAAAATCTATTAAGAAACTAGAAGTTAATAGTATTTTTTTCAGGTGTGAAATCCAATTGATTAGTCATTTCAAGCTATTAATTCAAAAATCTGCATATAACACAGGCTAATAAGGGACAAGGAAAGTACTTGAAGAGTCAGTTTGGCCTGGTGGTTAAGGCACCAGGCTATAAAGTGGAAGATCATGAGTTCTAGTCCTGCCTTAGTCATGAAAGCCAGCTTGGTGATTTTTGGCCTGTCACTCACTTTCAGTTCAACTTACCGCACAGGGTTGTTGTTGTTGTGGAGAAAACAAGAGGAGGAATGTATCTTGGAAATTTTCACCCCCTTGGGTTATTTGTAAAAATAATAAATGCAGAATATACATAAGTTTAAAAAAAATTTAAAAAATTCCTAAAATAGCTCACTGTAGCTTTAACCTAACTACTTAAGTACACTAGTAGAAAATAGACATTTTCAAACAGTTCCTTTTTATTTATTTACACAAATATGAATAGAATCTTATATTAAACAAACTTTTATTGCAAATTGAGATATTTAAAAACAAGGCATGCAATCTCCTTAAACCTCATATTATTATCAAATATTCAGAACTGTGAATTTAAGTAACATTGAATATTTATAAATGCACTGTAGATGAATTGAATTGAAGTATTCCTTCCTTTTTCTTTTTCTTATGCTAAAGCAATTGGTGCTACCTGGCTATTAGCCATTGCTACATGTTCTTTTAGTAAAAGAAGAAACTTCTGGGAAAAGCTAAATTACATATCTAATGCATTCCATAAATCAGGTTAGATTATATGCTAAATGTTGAATAAAATAAACCATAAACATTAAAGTAAGGATCAAATCACAGTATAATTGCAGAACATTTCAAGCAAAAGATTCCAGACTCAATCCCTGGCATTCCTAGCTAGAAAAATCTGATAGCAGTTTAAAAACCTCTCTCTAAAAGACAGTCAGACAGAAATAATGGGCTAGGTAGTCCAATAGTCTGAACTGATAAAAAGGCAGTTTCTTATTGTAATTTCGTACTATTAAATTTCCCACAAGAAGATTGTAAAAAAATTTCAAGCTTAGCATTTGATGAATCCTATGGAGTGGGCAATGTTTTACTTTGAAAACATACAGTGCAACTCAGGGATCTATGCCAGTTTGGCTTGGGGATAGTCACCCTAAATGCACAAACGTATTTATAGGCATTTCTGCAATATAAAGTCTTTTTTTGATATAGACATGCATAGTAACACACAGTCCTGGTTTTCAAAAGTTTACTCTGGTGGAATAAAGAAGGTCAGACTCCTGTTCAGCTATAAAGGACTATTCAAGGACTGTTTGGCAAACCAATAGGAACGCACAAAAATATAGTTTGATGGTTTTCTTCAAATTACTTCTTTTGCTCACAACCTAAGATATATTTTAGCCTCTGTTTCATTCAAATCTAGGCATAAATACTAAAATAACCACAAAGAAACCACAAAACCTAGAGAATCAGGAGATGAGGTTTCAGCCAAGCCTTAAACCTAGAAGATTTACTGAATATGATGCCTACTGAAAAATATATCTCTCCAACTGGCATAAAACTGAAGCGGTTTAAGGCAGGGGTCCCCAACCCACAAGCCACGATCCATATCTACAAACATTAGAAAAAATGCAGAATATTAAAACAATAACGACCTTAAATTTAAAAACTGAATTAAAATAAAACTAAGCAGAATGAAGAGAAAGGCACAAAGTGCACAGATAGAGGAGTGGGCTGTTCTCTATTCCATTATACAATTCCACACCCGCATTAAGGCCTCAGGCTATGACCTCACGGGGCAAGAGGTTCTAGAGGGCTGAAACCATGGCAGAAAAGGTTCTTCTGGGCCCCACCAGCCGAAAGTCTTTGGTTGACAGAGTTCACAGCATGCCCCTTCTGCCAGCATAATTGTATGCATGTATTTCTTACATGTAATTAGCTGCCCATCTCATATAGTGACTCTGATGTATGATGTCTCCTCAGAAGTAAGTCTCACAAAGTTCAAATGATCTACTCCCAAAGACAATGCACATAGACAGTACTTTCAGCTGTTCAGAGACAGTCCAGCTTTTTAACTATAAAACAATTTCATATAAAGCTTAAGAGAAACCAAATTATGTGAGAATCATGATCTGCCTAATACTATAACCAAAATTAATTTCCAAGAATAAAATAAAAAATATAATTCAAAATAATTATATTGTAGAAGACTTTATTATAATTAGTATGTATAAAATAAGGCTTTTAGAATTTTCTGAAAATTGTCATCTATTAGAAAAAGTCAGAATTTTTTCTGTCATGTATTTTAGAAAATATTGTGACAGATATATTTACCTCGAGCATGCATGTTTGGGCATGAACACTAACCTTGACTGTTCCACAGCTGGTTTTATTATGTGAAGTTGTAATAGTAATAATACTTTACAGAAGGTACCAAAATATTAAACCAGTTTACCTCACCATTGTCCCAGGCAAATTCTCCATATCCAAGTTTTAAATCAAATGAAAATTCGCCTTTATAGCAAGAACCATCTGGCCATTCTTGCACTCCAGATTTATACTCAAATCTATTATTGTTCAGATCATCTTCAACTAATATATCTTGCTGTTCATTGCTTTCTTCCTCATAATCTTTTCTCTCTTCTTCTTCACCACATTCATAATCAACAGCAGATATCTGCTCAGTCTCACTTTCTTCTCCTGGGAATAAATTATTTGCTGAGAAGCCATCTCCTGGTTTATGTTTCTTTTCTCTGAAATCATAATCAGGAACAGTTACTATTCTTTATCAACTAGATTCATCCAATACCAAGCTCTTCCACACATAACAGGATGTTTCAAAATGATTTGCAAGTAAATGTATGTAGCTTAGAATCCTATGCTTACCAGGAAATAGGCTTAATTTAAATCAGCAAAAAATATTTTTGAGGAAATATGCTAAAGATATTGGAACTGTTACTAAATGTAACTGTTACTGTTATTTGCTATTAAACATAATCAAATACAAATTTGCAAAAAGAAGCAATTTGGTTGCTTCTATATTTTGCACAATTAGGAAAATGGCAAAAGACAGTACCAACTTAAGATAACTAAATAATGTTGAACTGGATGCAGATGTTATCATAATCATTCTAAATATGAACTTGCTGTTACAAAAAAAATTAACTTTGAAGATAAGTCAAAATAACATATGAAGTGAAAGAACAAAGAATAGTGGCCTGAAAGCTTTGTATACTTTAAATAAAACACAGCATTTCTGCAATAGGTTGAAGCTGACACATAGTAACATTTTAAAGCAAATTATGTAACATTTTAAAGCAAACATTTTAAAGGACATAAGTTTAGAAATACTTGCTAAATTTTTCAAGAAATATGCAACTATTAAAAATATTGTTTGCTCTGGGTGCTATTATAATCACGCTTGTATAGCAGAAGAGCTTTTATCCCACAGAACAAAACCATTCAAAATTGTCATCATCCTTAGAATTTTGTACGTTTGTTGTCATATAAAAATATATCCACACAATTCTCCCACAGAAACACTGATGAGATCATGTTTTCTCCATGCTTAAAATATATTTGTTTACATATATTCATTGAGCCAAACCAGCAAACAAATCCTAAATACTATTTCACTTAGCTGTTATATCTAAGCCTCAGTAATTTAGTGCACAATATACTATTTCTCCTTCCCAGAATACAATTAGTTCCTTGGGATTCCTAACTTTGAAAGGATGTACTCTGCAAGTTAAAAATTGAATGGAATTGTCAAATTTCATACTCCAGGTTTTGGCTTAAAGTATAAATGAACAATGGAATATATAATCTCAGGCCCATATAAAGTACATCTTTAAGCACACTTTGTGTTGCTTTCCCCAACACAAAGACTTCCAACAGGACTATTATTCTGTTATATCAGACAACGAAGACGGCTGTGATAGGAATTGTACATTAATCCAAGACAAATGAATTGAAAAAAAAACTGGACAAGCAACTTATGATATCCTTCTTGTCCAAGGGTGGGAATGTCCTCCTAAGGATTTTCATACAATCACCCTTTCTCATTCAAGCAGTTGTAAAAAGGTTCCAGCTACAGTGTCGGAAGTTATTTTGTATTTTCTCAACACAATTGTCACGTCTTACCCTACTGGTGAGGAAAAATTACCAAGGAGAAAAATATGAAAGAATTGTAATGCCTTTTGATTAATGACACTTTAAAAGTCTCTGGGTATGAGTATTTTGTAGTAACATCCAGACAGAGGCTTTTAATACCCCTATACCTCCTCTTATACCTAGTCCCATAGTTCTGTATTAAAAGCAATTATCAATATTAACATGCTCTTGTAACACCACTTGTTTGCACTTTACAGTTGCATTCATAGCGAATAACGTTGATATCCAAAGGTGCTTTTTAAGAGGCAACTGGACTTTCTGGTTTGTCTTTAAAGACATTTCGCTTCTCATCCCAGAAGCTCCTTCAGCTCTGTCTGGATGGTGGGGAATGGAAGGATTTATATTCCTTGCAGACAGACATTCCCCACCATCCGATCAGAGCTGAAGAAGCTTATGGGATGAGAAGCGAAGCATCTTCAAAGAAAAACCAGAAAGTCCAGTTGCCTCTTGAAAAAGCGTCTTTGGGACAATCATGATCCGGACGACTGAGGATCTCCATAGACGGTTGATATTCAAAGCAATAGATGTTTAGTTTTACAGTGCCCGCTAGCCGTACAAAAACTTCCCCGTGCAAAAAAAAAGGGGGGGGGATATGCGCGGAGGTGGGAGGAAACTTTCGTCCACTGATACTAAGACACCGCAATCCTTCCACTTCACACGTGAACGCCACGCGGCTCCGCGATCCGCCTATTCCACCTTCGCAGCCTCCGATTCATGTGGCTGCGCACACTTGCCGCCGGCTTCCGCCAGAGGTCCGTTGGAACTAGGAATCTGGTTCGCACGGACGGGGAAGACTCAACAGAGCCTCTCAGAGAGCGGCACCCACCCAAGAGCCGGAGCGGCAGCCCGAATAGCCTCCATCCGATCTCAAGGTCCGCTGGACCCGCAGACGCCGCCTCATAAGGGCCGGGCGGGGGAGAGCAGAGACGTAACAGTCAGCGAAGACGTGCTCCAAGCGCTGCTCCTGTTGTCCCTCACTAGGAAACCGGCGCAGGTAGCGGAGAAAAGACGGCCAGATCTCTCTCCAAGAAGCTCTGGCTACCCCGCTCCTGCCCGGCCTGCGCTGCATCCGAGTTTCCATAGAGATCAAGGCGGGGTTTCGTGGAGCGCGAAGTGGCTCCACCTCGCAGTTACTTTTTTTTTTTTTTTTTAAACTGGCGGTTTTCATTGGGAGAAAATGCTTCGTGAGAAACAGGCTTACAATTGGTTTTCTCAGTAATCACATAAAATTCGGTGGGCATATTGATCTAGATTATATTACAAGAGTATTTTTAAATCTTAGCACTTCCTTGTTGTTCAAAGGATTGAGGTTCGTGTTTTGATGTTTAACTAATTCACCAGTTATGTTCCTGTGTAGAAGAAATGGTTCTCATACAGGACTTAGTGCCATCTCATCTTGCCTATTACAGCTTTCAGATTCGTCTAGAAATATGGGTTAAAATATTGTGGGGATTCTAAATGCAAACTGATAAAGTCTTGGCTCATAACCCACAAGATTTCATTGTGATGGAAACGATAATAATGTGGATAACTGATGTGACAATACTAGGAAATAATAGAAGATAAAGAATTGGAGAAGACCTCAAAGTATTCAGATATGAAAATCAAAATTGAGATTATGGCATAAATGGGAGTCCCAGTGGCTATCAGCACACTGGAAGTTATACCAAAAAATCTTAGCACCTAGAACATCTGTGCTTGGACATCTGCCACACTGCTTAGATCCAGACAGATAGTACAAAATCCTAGGTTCTTGGGAAGAACTTGATGCATATGAAGGCCAAAACCAGGTAAGAACTAGAAGCTGTGATTTCACACTTTTGTGATGATTGTCATCAGAACTGAACTGAGAAGACAGCAACAGACAGCAAATGCCACCTTGCAAATAAGCTAAATAAATAGTGAGCTATCTAGTTAGATACCACAAAAAATTGCAGATTAACTACAAACAACAGCATGACAAAGTAGCAACAATTGTGCATTGGAGTAGCTATAAGAAATACCATTTACCTGCAAGCAAGAACTTGTGGACCACAAAATAGATAAAGTTCTCAGGTTCTGAGTACAATGACAATAAATTTATCTTATCTTATCTAAGTAATAAAAAATGAAGAAGCTAAAGTGCTTTAGGATTTTCAAATTCAAACAGACAAGCACCTACCACATTCCTAACAATTGTCAATAAGAAAGACCAGAAGAAGAAGGAGAAGGAGAAGGAGAAGGAGAAGGAGAAGGAGAAGGAGAAGGAGAAGGAGAAGGAGAAGGAGAAGGAGAAGAAGAAGAAGAAGAAGAAGAAGAAGTCTAAATAGTGGATGTGACAGTACCTGGAGGAGGCAGAATAGAAAAGAACTGGAGAAAATCAAATGCAAGGACTGGCAAATAAAAATAGACTGTGGCAAAAGAAAGCAACAGTAGTACCAATAGTAGTAGGCTCTTTGGGTGCAATCTGGAAACTGGAACACCACCCCTCACATCCTGGACATAAATTGTTTCAATTTCTACCCTCAAAACGATGCTATAGGGCAGGGGTAAGGAAACTTGGCTCTTTTATCACTTATGGACTTCAACTCCCAGAATTTCTGAGTGAGCCATCAAAGGTTTTCCATCCCAGGCCTACTGATTTTTCAGTTGTGGGGGAAATCAATTTTTGACTTGAATAAGACTGTTTAATATACAAATGTAGGACATTTGATTTCCCTAACAACTGAAAAACCAGTAAGCCAGGGATGGGGAACCTTTGATGGCTCACTCAGGAATTCTGGGAGTTGTGAAGTCTATAAGTGATAAAAGAGCCAAGTTTCCCTACCCTTGCTATAGGGCATTGCACACCAGAACAACTAGGCACAAGGACATCCCCCTCCCCCAAATGCCATCACTCTGCTAAACAACTAATTCCCACAACACTGAAACTATTTGCTAAGACTTATTATTATTCTTCTCAACCTTCCTATTACCTATCTCCTCCCACTTATAACTATAACCTTGTTGCCTGTATCTCTACAATTTATATTGTTTTATTTGTTTCCTAGTATGATTTGATTGCTTATTTAGTTCCCTATGACTATCACTAAGTGTTGTATCTTATGATTTTTAATGAAGGTATGTTTTTCTTTTT